CAGGCATAGCCCCACCAGAGATACGACGAAATGCAGCAAGCAAGAAAGAGCGCCAACAACAGTCTACTGACCAAAGACATCCTCTCTTTGGCCATGTGCCAGCCAAAAGCCGCCTTAAATCCAGGGAAAGTTTCCTGAAGAGCGTCCCACCCCTCGGAACACCGAGCATAAGCAGTGAAAGAGTCACTCGGTGGGAAGAAAGACTTGACAACCTCCCATCAGCAACAACAATGGAGCTAAAGGCGAGCGAGGCACTGCCCCCGGGAGCAGACACCAACTACGCAGTGTGGAAATGCCTAAACAGAATAAGATCTGGTGTTGGACGTGCAAAAGCCACTCTCACCAAATGGGGATACCTAAATGACGGGGACGTTGTGTGTGACATTGGCATTGAACCACAAACCATGCAACATCTCCTGATATGCCCCCTGCTGGAGCAACCCTGCACAACATCGGACTTGGCAGAGTTTAATGAGAAGGGACAGCAATGTGTTCAGCTGTGGCTGAACCACATCTAACCAAGCCCTGTAACTGACTGCCTTGTGGACACGATAAGAAGAAGTTTACTTCCATAACATAGTGACATCACTATGAAACAGGTTTTAGGAAGATGCAGTTGGCATCAGATATCTTCACTTTATAATATTAGTAAGTGAGTTTGTGTAAAAACTCCCAGTTAAACATGCAGACAGGAGAGTGTGTGTCTGCTGGATAATGGAGCTGAGTGTGTGAGAGGAATATCAAAGAGCCTGTCCTCCAAACAGAAGTCAATCCAGAGATTTTTAAAAGCTTCTGATCAATCAACGCCGTCTCGAATACAGACTGTGACTCAGTTTCATTATCATGTTATGCTTCTGTGTGTGTGTGTGTGTGTGTGTGTGTGTGTGTGTGTGTGTGTGTGTGTGTGTGTGTGTGTGAGTGAGTGTGTGTGTGTGTGTGTGTGTGTGTGTGTGTGTGTGTGTGGCCTAGCATTACTATCCTTGTGGGGACCTACATCTGTTTACACAGTCACGTGTGGGGACTTGCCTCCCTTATGAGGACATTATGGGAATCATTAATTTTGGGGTGAAGACTTGGTTAGGTTTAGGCATGTGTTGGTTATGGTTAAGGTTAGGATAAATCTCCAGGAAATGCATGTAAGTCAATGTAATGTCCCCTGAAGTGATGTATACATGGTATGTATATGTGTATGTGTGTGTTTGTGTGTTTTTAAGGGGTTTAAAGCTGTGTAGAGTTTGTTTTTTAAAGGTTTTATGCTAATTCAAGGCTGAACTCTTAACTGACCAAAGACATTGTCTACAATATATAACTGAAGTGAATTACTGATGATTTAGCCATGGTTTAATCGTTTTAAACACATGGAAATGCTACATATTTGATCTTTACGGTGCTATTAAAGTTTGTATTACATTACATTATTACATTACATTGCATTTAGCTGACGCTTTTATCCAAAGCGACTTACAATAAGTGCGTTCGACCAACAAGACACAACCTTGAAGAAAACAGAATCATATAAGTACATCAGGTTTCATAGAGCCAAACATTTCAAGTGCTACTCAACTGGCTTTAGATAAGCCAGTCCTTTATTAGTATATAAGTGCTTAAATGTATTAAATGTGGTATGATAGTATATTCTTAAGGTGGTATGACAGCATTTATTTTAGATGGTATGAATGTGTGTATTTAGTCCTCAGGTAAAGGATACCTGGAGAGTATGTATTTAAGATGATGTGTATTTAAGGTGGTATGACAGTATATATTTAAGATGATGTATATTTAAGGTGATATGACAGTAAATATCTAAGATGATGTGTATTTAAGGTGGTATGACAGTATTCAAGATGATGTGTATTTAAGGTGGTATGACAGTATTCAAGATGATGTGTATTTAAGGTGGTATGACAGTATTCAAGATGATGTGTATTTAAGGTGGTATGACAGTATTCAAGATGATGTGTATTTAAGGTGGTATGACAGTATTCAAGATGATGTGTATTTAAGGTGGTATGACGGTATTCAAGATTATGTGTATTTAAGGTGGTATGACAGTATTCAAGATGATGTGTATTTAAGGTGGTATGACGGTATTAAAGATGATGTGTATTTAAGGTGGTATGACAGTATTCAAGATGATGTGTATTTAAGGTGGTATGACAGTATTCAAGATGATGTGTATTTAAGGTGGTATGACAGTATTCAAGATGATGTGTATTTAAGGTGGTATGACGGTATTCAAGATGATGTGTATTTAAGGTGGTATGACAGTATTCAAGATGATGTGTATTTAAGGTGGTATGACAGTATATATTCAAGCTGTTCTTAATTTAAGGTGGTAAGACAGTATGTATTTAAGATGATGTGTATTTAAGATGGTCTTGATTTAAGGTGGTATGACAGTGTGTATTTAAGGCGGTATGACGTACTGTAGTCTTTGGGCAGCGGGGCCTGGGCGGAGTGATGCACTATGGGTCTTCTGCGGGGCTCGTGAACCGGACTCTGAAACTGAGACACGGACAGAGGCTCGGGCTCCACTTCACGCTCTTCATCACCAGCTGGAACCTCCTCCTCTCTCTCCTCTGGCTCTTCCTCCTCCTCTTCATCCACCCCAGCCCTCTCCTCCAGCTCCCTCTGCTCTCCTAGCTCATACTCCTCTTCCTCCTCTTCCTCCTCCTCGGTCAGCGCTTCCTCTTCCTCTTTGTTGACCTTTCCTTCCTCCTGCTCTTCGCGGTCGTGCCTCTCCTTTTCCTGCACCTCCAGATTCTCCTCTTTAGTCATGATGGCCTGAAGAGAGAGAAGAAGAACAAGGACACTTTTAATCAGAGGTGGGAAGTATTGGAGTACAAATACTTTGTTACTGTACTTTAGTACATGTTTCTGGTATCAGTACTTTACTCCACTACTTATTTTCCTGACGACTTTTTACTTTAACTTCTTACATTTTGAACACAAATACCTGTACTTTCTACTTCTTACACTTTGAACACAAATACCTATACTTTCTACTTCTTACATTTTGAACACAAATACCTGAACTTTCTACTTCTTACACTTTGAACACAAATACCTGTACTTTCTACTTCTTACATGTTGAACACAAATACCTGTACTTTCTACTTCTCACATGTTGAACACAAATACCTGTACTTTCTACTTCTTACATGTTGAACACAAATACCTGTACTTTCTACTTCTTACATGTTGAACACAAATACCTGTACTTTCTAATTCTTACATGTTGAACTCAAATACCTGTACTTTCTACTTCTTACATGTTGAACTCAAATACCTGTACTTTCTACTTCTTACATGTGAACACAAATACCTGTACTTTCTACTTCTTACATGTTGAACACAAATACCTGTACTTTCTAATTCTTACATGTTGAACTCAAATACCTGTACTTTCTACTTCTTACATGTTGAACTCAAATACCTGTACTTTCTACTTCTTACATGTTGAACCCAAATACCTGTACTTTCTACTTCTTACATGTTGAACACAAATACCTGTACTTTCTACTTCTTACATGTTGAACACAAATACCTGTACTTTCTAATTCTTACATGTTGAACACAAATACCTGAACTTTCTACTTCTTATATGTTGAACACTAATACCTGTACTTTCTACTTCTTACATGTTGAACACAAATACCTGTACTTTCTACTTCTTACATGTTGAACTCAAATACCTGTACTTTCTACTTCTTACATGTTGAACACAAATACCTGTACTTTCTAATTCTTACATGTTGAACCCAAATACCTGTACTTTCTACTTTTTACATGTTGAACACAAATACCTGTACTTTCTACTTCTTACATGTTGAACTCAAATACCTGTACTTTCTACTTTTTACATGTTGAACACAAATACCTGTACTTTCTAATTCTTACATGTTGAACACAAATACCTGTACTTTCTACTTCTTACATGTTGAACACAATACCTGTACTTTCTACTTCTTACATGTTGAACACAAATACCTGTACTTTCTACTTCTTACATGTTGAACACAAATACCTGTACTTTCTACTTCTTACATGTTGAACACAAATACCTGTACTTTCTACTTCTTACATGTTGAACTCAATTTGAGTTCAACATGTAAGAAGTAGAAAGTACAGGTATTTGAGTTCAACATGTAAGAAGTCAAAGTAAAAAGTTGTCAGAAAAATAAGTAGTGGAGTAAAGTACTGATACCAGAAAGATGTACTTAAGTACAGTAACAAAGTATTTGTTCTCCAGTACTTCCCACCTCTGGAAATATCTAATTGAACCAGAGTGTGTGCTGAACACCAGGTTTAGTCCAGCATTGGATATTAATGAAGCTGACTCCTTGGGAAAGTTTCCAGTGCACAAAGAAAGGAGGAAATCACGCATTTGTGAAATGGAAAATCTTAATTTTAACTGATATTATCCGAGAGAAAGGCTTTAAACTGCATTAAGCTCGTAAAAGAACCCAGTGACACACACACACACACACACACACACACACACACACACACACACACACACACGGATCAGTAGGTCATACAGTCTGAGCTGTTCTGCTAAACCCACCCTAACAGCAGCTCTGTTGTGTTTCATATTGAATAAGCTACTGTCTATCTGCATGCCCTCTCTGTCTGTGTCTGTGTATTCTCTTGTTCCGATTAACCCAGACAAATCTTTCTTCTTGTTTTGTATCTATATCTACGCCGGGATCCGGAGTCGAGGCTGATCCTCTTGCTGTAGTCCTGTGTCCTGGATCCTCTATCCTGAGTTCTGGATTAAGTCGTGGACTTCGGGGCGTGGCTGAACCTGTCTCTGCGGTCCTGCCTTGGGTCTCGTCATGCTGCTTCCCTGATGGCTTCCACAGGATTGTAGCTGACATCCTCGTGGATTCATCTTCTTCTTACAGACACATGCATATCCTAACATTCGGTCTATATGCTGTAAAATGTATTATCTCTTCGATTTACACACGGCATCTATTGCACGTCTGTCCGTCCTGGGAGAGGGATCCCTCCTCTGTTGCTCTCCCTGAGGTTTCTCCCATGTTCCCTTTAAACTGTGGGTTTTCTCTGGAAGTGTTTCCTTGTACGATGTGAGGGTCTAAGGACAGAGGGTCTAAGGACAGAGGGTCTAAGGACAGAGTGTCTAAGGACAGAGGGTCTAAGGACAGAGGGTCTGAGGACAGAGGGTCTGAGGACAGAGGGTCTAAGGACAGAGGGTGTCGTTTGTTTCTCATACTGATATTCTGAACAATCTGTGCTGTTGTATTTGCTGTAAAGTGTCTCTACTGTAGGCTATTTTTATTTTATGTTCAGCACTTTGGCTCCACCAAAAATCGTTTATAAATGTGCTATATAAATAAAACTTGATTTGATTTGATGGAGGAAACACCAAAAGGGCAGAACGTGCAGCAGGGACCTTCAGATATCTGGGAAAATAAGAGACAATGTTGATTCCGTCTCCAAGAAAGCAAGGCAGCATGTCGACTAAGGAGCTTTAACACCAGGTCTGTGGTCAAACTGAGAGTATGACACGTTTAATAACCTCTCAGTAAAACAACATAACGAACGGACACAGGTCCTCAATCAGGACTTCATCTGTGACAACAACTCTAAAACGTGGACAGGGTGACCAGGTGTTCACAGCATGTAGCCGATGTCCTGCATTTGCCTGTTGCTTTTCTCCAAAGGTGTTTACAGTTTTTTGCAATTGCTAGTTGCTGGGTGCAGAGCTGAACATGTGTTGAGAGTGTAGGAGCTTTGAGCTGATGTCTTTCTCTTTGAGTGTGTGATACAAATAATTGTGCTTTATGTGTACTTTTTCTTTTTTTTAAGGATTGTTAGGACATTTTTATTTCACAGAGAGATGGCATCCTTCATTTGACTCCCGTCTTCAACGCTCTCATTTAAGCCGTTTTTTTTTTAGCCAAGGAAACACACAAGTAGAACTATCCAGAGAGGGCAAAAGTACACACTTCCTTTACTCGAGTAGAAGTACAGATACTCGTGTTTAAAAATACTCTGGTGAAAGTAGAAGTACTCACATCCTTTACTCAAGTAGAAGTACACACATCCTTTACTCAAGTAGAAGTACACACATCCTTTACTCAAGTAGAAGTACACACATCCTTTACTCGAGTAGAAGTACACACATCCTTTACTCAAGTAGAAGTACACACATCCTTTACTCGAGTAGAAGTACACACATCCTTTACTCAAGTAGAAGTACACATCCTTTACTCAAGTAGAAGTACAGATACTCGTGTTTAAAAATACTCTGGTAAAAGTAGAAGTACAGACATCCTTTACTCAAGTAGAAGTACACACATCCTTTACTCAGGTAGAATTACAGATCCTCGTGTTTAAAAGTACTCTGGTGAAAGTGGAAGTACTGACTAAACTTCTTTACTCAAGTCAAAGTAAAGAGACTTTGAAGTGTACTTCAGTAAAAAGTACCCATAGCTAGCAGCTGCTTTAAAGAGTACCTGACCTCCCTTTATATTAATAGAACAATAATGTCATTGTTAGCTAATGAATGTTTCCATGCTGAACAACGGCAACATGACAACATTTCCATTGGTCCCTCTTCTTTAGAGAAGACCAGGAAGTGATACACGTCATGGATACGGCCATGTTAGCGTTAGCAACTGAAAGAAACTGTGAAAAACAAGCTATCCCCATTAGCTGCGTCAGATCAATCAACAGTTTACTTATGGGTGTAGACGGAGACGGCGAGTCCCTCACAGTTTTTGTGAGATTTGCCAGAATATTTTGTCACATGGAGGTGAATACGTTTTGAAGCACCGAGACTCACAAGAAACGCCTGGCCCATAAAGAAAGTACGGATCTCCTGAAAGCAACAGAGGACGAGCGACCAGCAGCTGATTGAATAAAGCCACACTGCAGACTGTCAGCGAGCTCTGCTCCTTTTTACAGACTCACAAATGAATAGGAGAATACTTACGGATGATAGTTACTTCATTCCTTCACTTAGTTTGTATGCTCCCTACAAATGGAACACACTTCCAGAAAACCTGAGTCTTCACTTACTGAGTTCTTTAAGTCGAGGCTAAAATCACGACGTTGTTCAGCTGCTCACCCAGAAGTCTCTTAACTTGTTTTAGCACCTACTGTATTTACAAAGTTGTTTTTAAACTATTCTGTATCTCTTTTATTCCATCACATTGTGTTCCTTTCTTTGGTCTCAAGTGTTAACGTTGATGTGAAGCACTTTGAATTGCTCTGTCAAAATGTGCTTTATAAATCAACGTACCTTATACCACATATGTTGTAATTCCTTCACTTGCAAACCAGAGTAAAGCGTTGTTATTTATATGTATGAGATAATAGTTTCAATACAAATGTTTATTTGTAAGGGTTGCTTAGACATTATATTTCAATCTAAACTAGCTCTTAGCAACGCAGAAACATGTCCACACACACACACACACACACACACACACACACACACACACACACACAACCAACACCATCACCTGTTCTTAAACAAATCAAAGTGTATATATATATATATATGAGCTCTTACAGATTAACAAACATTAATGACTTTAGGATGAAATCATTTCAGTTTTGAGTATTGTGTACAAACTGTACGATGTGCAGACAAATGTCCATTGTGTACGTAAATGTCTTGGAGCATAAAGTAATCTGAATGCTAAGCTAACCGTTGCTATCAGACATCCACACATCTGGACTGAAGGAAAGATTATATTTGACTTTTAATTCCTATTTCTCTGCTTTTTAACGACTGTTTTAAGTTGTATTTAAATGTCATGTATAATGTGTCTCTGTTGCATTGTGTGTCCTTATGGTTTTGGAAGACACTTTGTTTGACCTTAAAATGTACATTTTGTCGATGGAAATGTACCTTTTTAATGCATGATATAAACATGTTTGGTTTAGTAAATGTGTTTCTCCTCACCTCAGAGAAGATACTTTCTGATCACAACAAAAAATGTCGTGTTATTGTGAGATCACAAAATGATAAAGTTGCATGAAAACAACTCAGGGACAATCCAGACGCTCTGAAACGTCCTGCAGAGATGTTTTTAATGTAATATTATTCTTTATCTGTAATGGGATTTATGAAATGTAGTCGCTGCCTGGACAGAAACCAGCGTCTGACACAGGACACACACACACACGCACGCACGCACGCACGCACGCACACACACACACATACACACACACGCACGCACGCGCACACACACACACACACACACACGTAATTACTATAAATAAACGTGGAGAAATTAAGAGTAAAGTCCGACTCTTACAGGATTTTTGAGGACAATTACTTTCAAATCTGATAAAATGACTAAAATATTTTATAATGATAAAGGTGTGATCTTGTAAAAATGATCTGTACCAAACAAATATGTTTCATTAAGTCTTTCAACATGTATTTATAGAACAGAATATCTTCATCACTATCAATATGGCATTTTAACACATTATTAAGCCTTAAAAGAATATTGTGCTTCCTGCTATTTGAATATTGCACTACACCATGTTGGGCTTTAAATAAAATGTAGCCTACATTAATTGTGCAGCCTTATCTAGTATATTATAATAGTATAACAGCTAAAAAAAACATTTGGCTGCATGGGAATTATACATTTAACGTTACGCATCAATACTAGCTTACTTATAAGACTTATAAGTACAATTTATGATGCATGTATGTGTTTAAATTGCAGTATTAGTACTTAAAATACCTTTCAATTTCACCCATTACGGGTATTTTCTAAAGCAGCATCTCTCACATTGAGTGCCAGTGGGAATACTGGGCATGAATACGACCGTAATAACCGAGAGTAAGCGTATTTTAAACGAAGCCCATCAGTCACAGCAGAACGAAAGGATGTTTCATTGTCTTTTTATGTGTATTTCGGATGCTTTTAAGGGTCTCCATGTGATGTGCGGAGGAAGGCCAGCATCCTCCTCCTCCTCCTCCTCCTCCTCCTCCTCCATCAGCCTCCATTTTAAAACACCACCACAAACACTGAACATGCAAAAAACACGACCAATAACACACACCTTATTCTGCACACACACACAGCTGCACACACACAAGCAATGATTAAGAAGCGAATACATGGAATAAATATCGATGTTTAGAAACCGTGTTTGTGGTTTGTGCCAATGTGCGTAGTGAAGATGGGAGGAAAAAACGCCCCGCGGACGCACAATGAAAACACGCGCACACGCACCAAAACATACGTTACGGTAACGCGTTTAAAACACATAATACACGTTTCAAAATGGTTTATATAAATGTCATAAATGCAGCTTGTAATGGATGCAAAGCAGATGTTGTTTTGAACAGCGCCCCCCTCTCAGCATCTCTCCATCTTTAACACGAATCAACACACACGCACATTTCAAGAACACACACTTCTAAGGATAATAAAGATTAAATGTGTGTTAAATCCCGCAGCTGAAGGTGTTCTTACCTGAAAACAAGCCGCTGGTTGTGGTGTGTGATGAGCCTCTCTCTCTCTGTGTGATGCAGAATAACACTGATGCTCTCTCTCCCTTTTTCTCCCCCTCTCTCTCTAATTTAATTCAGTTCGTGTCACTGACGCTCTGCTGACGTCACGGAGCTATTAACATACAGTGATTCATAAATGGGAATACAGCACTTTACAAAAATACAAATTAAAAGATGTATAAAAGTAAGTAATGATAGGCTACATATTGTTCTTACATTTCCCAAACATGTTCATATTTAAAAAAATTTTTAAATACATTCTTAAAAATGTGAAATTAGTTTCCAAAATATTTGTTTTAAGTGTTATTATAACTTTTTTAATGTATTGTCTTGAATATAAATAATTGTATTTTTTTTGTATTTAGGGCATTTTCATTACAAAATATATTTTAAATGAATTAAAAAAATGGTATTGAAAGTCTCCTAAAAAGACCTGAAGCGGAGGTTGGTCCTCACAAAGGGGGTAGTACAGGAATAGACACACAGGTAGAAGAGGTGTGTCCTGCATTCACAAGATCTGCGCTCAGATAGTTCAGTTGTGTTTCTGGCTCGCGCTGCACACAAAACACAGGTAAGCTTAGGTTTCTTTACTTCTTCTATGTCACTTTTATTGGATTTTAACTGATAGGATTCAGCTGTTATGTAGTGTTACGTTCCCTCCTGTACAAAGGGAAGTAGCAACATATAAAATAACCGGGAGAGAGATACAACTGATTTGTGAAGCCACAAGATGGTCTTTTAATAAATAAAATAAAAGGAGGCTCACCAGCCAATTTGCAAACTTACGACAAAACCAAAAAAACGTTCACATAAAAGAAAGCAACAACAGTAAACCATAACACTACTCAGAACTTCTACAAGTTGCACTTCTCAGTAGACAACAACCAAAACACTGCTGCACAGATCACCCACTGCCATCCATGCAGCTCACAGGAGAAGGACGAGAGAGACTGCAGCCTTCCTCAGTTCCTTTATGGAGGTTGGGAGCACCTGAGGGAGAGGCTGCACCTGGAGGGAGACAATCAGGGAGAGAGAGAGAGAGAGAGAGAGAGAGAGAGAGAGAGACGAGAGAGAGAGAGAGAGAGAGAGAGAGAGAGAGAGAGAGAGAGAGAGAGAGAGAGAGAGAGAGAGAGAGAGAGAGAGAGAGAGAGAGAGAGAGAGGAGAGACACACACACACATACACACACACACACACCACACACACACACACACACACACACACAACGGCACGTAACATGTAGCCAAGAAGTAGATGAGATAGCAAAAAAACGAGGTAAATGAATGGGCTACTGATACAACAGTACATATAACCCCAAAGTGTCGTGACACAGGCAGTATGTTCTCTAATATTTATACTACAATAATATATATATAGTCATATTTTGAAATGGGGCGTAATGCAATACTTTGACTTGTAACGGAGTACTCCTACACCAAGGTGTTTTTACTTACAGGTCTTTCGTGTTTTTAGAAAATGAATGTCTTGAATTTTAACCATTTATTTCTGAATATATAAAATAAATATTAATAAAATAATATATATCAATAATCAATATTATCAATAATACACAATCAATACATGTTTTAATATGTTTGACTTTGTACTAATGTGATGCAGCGAGGTAGATCTATGTGCGTCAGCATGGGACCGGTGTAACTGGTTAAACTTCTTCTCATGAATGCATTTATGAAACAATCCAGTCCACTCCTTTCACAAGTATGACTTTACTGAACCGACTACAGCAACATAAACAGCTGGAGAGGGGTCCTCTTTAAACTCTTTAAAGTAGAGACACTACATACTGATATACACCTGAACATCAGCAGGAGAGGACTCTTTCAAGTAGAGACACTACATACTGATATACACCTGAACATCAACAGGAGAGGACTCTTTAAAGTAGAGACACTACATACTGATATACACCTGAACATCAGCAGGAGAGGACTCTTTAAAGTAGAGACACTACATACTGATATACACCTGAACATCAACAGGAGAGGACTCTTTAAAGTAGAGACACTACATACTGATATACACCTGAACATCAGCAGGAGAGGACTCTTTAAAGTAGAGACACTACATACTGATATACACCTGGACATCAGCAGGAGAGGACTCTTTAAAGTAGAGACACTACATACTGATATACACCTGAACATCAGCAGGAGAGGACTCTTTAAAGTAGAGACACTACATACTGATATACACCTGAACATCAGCAGGAGAGGACTCTTTAAAGTAGAGACACTACATACTGATATACACCTGAACATCAGCAGGAGAGGACTCTTTAAAGTAGAGACACTACATACTGATATACACCTGAACATCAGCAGGAGAGAACTCTTTAAAGTAGAGACACTACATACTGATATACACCTGAAGATCAGCAGGAGAGGACTCTTTAAAGTAGAGACACTACATACTGATATACACCTGAACATCAGCAGGAGAGGACTGTTTAAAGTAGAGACACAACATACTGATATACACCTGAACATCAGCAGGAGAGGACTCTTTAAAGTAGAGACACTACATACTGATATACACCTGAACATCAGAAGGACAGGACTCTTTAAAGTAGAGACACTACATACTGATATACACCTGAACATCAGCAGGAGAGGACTCTTTAAAGTAGAGATACTACATACTGATATACACCTGAACATCAGGAGGAGAGGACTCTTTAAAGTAGAGACACTACATACTGATATACACCTGAACATCAGCAGGAGAGGACTCTTTAAAGTAGAGACACTACATACTGATATACACCTGAACATCAGCAGGAGAGGACTCTTTAAAGGAGAGACACTACATACTGATATACACCTGAACATCAGCAGGAGAGAACTCTTTAAAGTAGAGACACCACATACTGATATACACCTGAACATCAGCAGGAGAGCACTCTTTAAAGTAGAGACTCTACATAATGATATACACCTGAAGATGAGCATCATGTGTCTTCTTCAATAAATATAGTTCTGAAATGAGCCGTTACATCTATGTTTGCTTTTGTTACTTTGTGTATATTTGTATGCCAATACTTCTGTACTTTCACTTAAGTTAGATGAATGAATGTACTTTTACTAACAGAGTATTTTGGGTAATTTAGCATTACTTTTACTTAAAGGTGGGGTAGGTAAGTTTGAGAAACCGGCTCGAGATACACTTTTTGTTATATTCCATGGAATGCTCTTAACATCCCGATAGCAATGCATATCTGAAGTGCTTTGACAATAAACATAAAAATATGTCATCTGTGGAAGCCGTGGCGCTGTAAAAAGTACGACCAATCATCTGAGCCGGCTAAAGTAACTGGATGGCCTACCTGCCTGTCAGCCTTCCATCTGTGCACAAACTTATCTCGTGCCCTCATTGGTCATGTGCGCGTTCGTGTGTGTTGGAGGAGGGGCTCTGGAAGGAAGTGGCAGATTTTCTCCGGTCGTGTATTTTCAAATTCTAGCGATATCGAGCCGGTTTCTCAAACGTACCCTACCTTTAAGAAGAACCTTTTTACAATTTGTATTTCTTCCACCCTCTCCTCTGTCTTTCCCCTGCAGAAATGGCCTCTGCAAACATTTCAGATGAGTTTCTGTGCTCCATCTGTTTGGATGTTTTCACGGAGCCTGTTTCCACTCCCTGTGGACACAACTACTGCCGGGCCTGCATCAGCCGCTGCTGGAGCTCCGGGGCCATCATCCAGTGTCCGCTGTGCCAAGAAACCTTCCTCACAGCCCCCAAACTGAGAGTCAACGTCGAGTTCAGAGACATGTTGGAGATTTTCAAGAAGACCAAACAAGCAGGTGACTCAAATTCCCCAAATGTTCAGAATTTGTAAAGAACTTATTTTCGGAAAAATTGGTTTTTTTATATTGATAAAAAGAGAAGCACAAGGACTTTAGACAGTCAGGATTTGCAAAAATGTCCTCGAAAATCCTTAAATGTCACCTATTATGCAAAAGGCACTTTTTGATGTGACTCACTAAGCGTCAGGGAAAAAAAACCCTCTCTTTTCCTCCGTACCCACATCTCTAAAAACGGGGGAACAACGGAGCTGATCCAGATTTGCGTCCAATATGATGTAATATCTGAAATGTGGGCGGGCTTTACACCCAAGACCAATGTTGCTGTCAGAAACAATACGCAAAGTGTTTTGGAAGTAATATGGTCTTTATTTACTTTAGCATCGCTAACACTCAGAGCTAACCTGTACTAGAGAGAGTATGTGTAAAGAAGCAGGAAATATAAAAAGGAACTCACCTTGTGGTAAACCTGAGAGATAAAAAGAGTTTGAGCTCCATACTGTTTCAGAAATAATCCTTGATGTGGTTTGGACCATAATATAGCGTTTAATCACGGCAGCATTTATCTAAGTTTCTGCTTGTCTCTGAGCTCTGCTGCATGCACACTCCAAAGGGGGCGTGGCCACGGCAGCTCGGGTTACATTTGAAGCTGTCCCAGAATCAGCATTTTAGTAACAGGGCTGAAATAGAGGGGTGTGAGCAGTGTTGGCGTTAGAATTTTTCGCTAACCGTCCTTTAGACCAGGGGTTCCCAACCTTTTTTCCCAAGAGCCCCCCCAAATGACTCCTATTGGAAGTTGCACCCCCCCCCCCCCCCCCCCACACACACACAAGGAGGGGGGGGGGCAACAGCGGTAATTAACCTGTTAGGCCCCAAGCCTATTTTTCAGGTTTCAGGCTCGAAAATGACATTCCCAGAACAAATGACCATATCTTCCCTTCTAAAAGGGTTAAATTAATAATCTTTGTTCTCAAAGTAATGATAAACCTGTGAGTTGGATGTAGAAAATTCAGAATCAATATAGATGTTTTTTATTTTAAGAATATTCAGATTGAACATGGTAAAAAACTGTAAATTATAGTGTCCGTCCAAAATATATGTTGTACTTATAGTGAAAACTAACCTTGGATGATGTTTGTAGACTAAAAGCTTTAGGAATCCAAAGTACAACATATAATAAGTACCCTGTATCAAGATTGATGCAAAAATAAGTGATATTTGACCTTTTTAGACAGATTTAGCAAAAAAAACTTCTTCTGGGGTCATTTGGGTGGATTTTCCTTATCTCTGGCCCCTCTTGTTCGATTTTGACATGTGACATCTCTTTCTGACCGTTAGAGCCAATAGAATCCAAGGGAAATCGTCCCGCACACACTCATGTTAAAAAAAAATGGTGGCCTCTCTGCGCATCCTTGCAGAGGGGAGAAATATCCTGCTCTGATATCAAGCAACGGAAAAGCTGTTTTATTGCTTATGGATTGTCAGAACATTTCAAAGGGGACGCAGTCACATTGGATTAACCTATGGATTAACTACAGCATCGTTGTTATCGTTTTAATGCCATTGAAGACCAGTTTAGACCAGACAAAGACGAAGGTAAGCCATGTTAGCGTTGTGGGCTACCTAGCGCCACTTGTTTTGATGTACGTTTTTGTTGATAACGTCGCGAGTTTGTATCTTTCAGTGTTGAGGTGGGCACCGTTAGATTCTGTGTATCCTTGCGATCATAAACAATGTGTTGGATGTGCAACTGTGCAACTGTGACAAATAATCCAACTGAACCCGGCATGGACAATGACTATGTTTTAAACATGCGCTTATCCAGAAAAGCCTGGTTTGGACACTTTACGGGCAGAAGAAACATTTCTATAGAAAGAATTATACATTTCTGTCTTTGTATGCCTTTAATACTAACTTGAATTTGTATTCAAATGAATTAATCAACTATTTTTTATATTTTATTGTAATGTAGAGACAAGGCTTTTAGTGACAATCATGTATTCCGTTACAATTATATGTAAAAAAAAAAAAAAAAAGTAAATATGATTTTTGGCTTCAAATCATCTGAGGCCTGGCGCCCCCCCTGCGATCTTTGGCTCCCCCCCCCCAAGGTTGAGAAGCACTGCTTTAGACGGACAGGATCGTAACATTTCCGTCATAATCCATTATTACCCATCGCGTCTGTACACAACTCGTCACTCACGTGTCGTGCTGACGGGGGGGACCACGCTTGAGAATTGTTAGCGCCGGTGTTATGCCGTGTTATGCATGCACCTCACGGGAGCACGCACAGCGTAAATAAAAAACTCCCAGACATTTCAATGATCTGTACGGCAAAGTACGGTTTGGAAGCGATATAATTTCCTTTTTTGGCGGGCATGCATAACACGGCATAACACCGGAGCCTCACTGTGGGGAAACGTTGGCGCTGTTCCGAGTTTGTTCTAATCTGTCAAAATGACAGACTGCTTTCAGATTTTCCCGTCATTGTTAAAAAAAATCTGTCATAGACGGAAAGTATTCGGTTAACGCGACCTCTGGGTATGAGGCATGGCTAGGATGGGTGATCTGTTTGGTACTTTGAGCAAAACACTTCAGAGACATGTTTTGTATAGATATGGCCCTATAAGATATTGTTCAAATATATCATAATAGGTGAGCTTCGATATAAAAAAAAAAATAAGAATGTGTATGAAAAAATAATGTTTAATTTTCCAAAGCAGGTGAGGATGGAGGATCCCCGGCCGGGCCTGGAGACGTGCCCTGTGACCTCTGCGAGGGGAATAGGAGGCGTAAGGCTGTGAAATCCTGCCTGGGTTGTTCGGCCTCTTACTGCGACGCTCACCTGAAGCCCCATCCCACCGTGCAGAAGTTAAAATGGCACCAGCTGATCAACCCCGTGGATTCCCTGGAGGAAAGGGTCTGCAGGAAGCACAACAAAGTGATGGAGTCTTTCTGCAAGAGAGACCAGTGCTGCGTTTGTTCCGTGTGCCTGAAGGAAGACCATGTGGGGCATGACGTCGTCTCTTTGGAGGAAGAGTTTAATGCGAGGAAAACTCTGTTGCAGGGTGCAAACACATCTATAGCCGACGCTATATCAGATAAATGCAACACGGTTATAAGGGTAGAAAACTTGATGACGCAAAGTAGGCAGAAGGTGGAGGAAACTAAGGTGGAAGCGAACCAGGCCTTCGATGGTTTGGTTGCCGCGATCCTCAGTAAAAAAACTAAGCTGATGGAGGTTTTGGAGGAGAAGCAGGAAGCTGCAAAGGGATAAAGCACTAAAGAGACAGCTAGGGCTGGAGATCGCAGAACTCCGTCAGACGAGTCTGAAGATGGAAGAAATGTTAAAGACAGAGGACGAATTTCGACTCCTGCAGAACCTACCATCCATCCCCTCTGCACCAAACACAAGGCATCGCTATACAGAACGCAAAAGTCTCCTGCAAGTAGAGGAAGTCTGGAGAGCGGTGGCTAAAATCGAGGAGACGCTCAACGAACACATGGACAAGATTATCAGAGAGGTCCTTCAGAGGGATACGGAAGAGGAGGCCTTTGAAGAACAGCAAACCCTGTTTGATGATGAACTTGGTAAGATCCAGGAGCAACATGCAGTAAAGGTGACTTTAATTTTTACAACATTCTCGAGGGCCGTACAAATTATTGAACTCAACCTCTGCTAAAAAAGACTAAAATCACATTCATTTCGCCTTTCTTTCATGCTGTGCAAAGAAAAAGCAACCTCTAAATCCAGATATCTTTCTGTTTTATTTTCAAAGTGTGTAAAAGGCATGAACACCAAAACAGAAAGATATGGACAAGATGTGCAAATGTATTTAGTATCCTACCCATGTGAACATGATTTAAGTGGGGGGTGGACCTAACATCCTCCGGGGGGGGGGGGGGGGGGGGGACCAAACATCCTCTAGGGGGGTCCGGGGGGGGGGGGGGAAACCTAACATTCTCTAGGGGGGCATGCTCCCCCGGGAAGATTTCTTTTTTAATATTGAAGTTAAAAGCATGCATCTGATGCTGCAAAATTAAGAGATCTATCTCAACACCAATGTGAAACAGAACTGTAAACAGATTTTCTTTTTCTTTATGGATATTTTACAAATCACTTAGCATAGCTAGCTAACCAGATGCTAACAGCAATAATCCCGGTATGGTACAGCTCTCTCTCTCGTTCGCTCACAAAATACGCTCGTGCCACACACACACACACACACACACACACACACACACACACACACACACACACGCACACACACATACACACACCATGTATACATCACTTCAGGGGACATTACATTGACTTACATACATTTCCTGGAGACTTATCCTAACCTTAGCCATAACCAACACATGCCAAACCCTTACCCTAATCCTAATCCTAAACCTAACCAAGTCTTCACCCTAAAATTAATGATGCCCCTCATGGGGACCTCCATTTTGTCCCCATAAGGGAGGTGAGTCCCCACACGTGACTGTGTAAACAGATGTAGGTCCCCACAAGTATAGTAATGCTAGGCCACACACACACACACACACACACACACACACACACACACACACACACACACACACACACACACAAGCTTGAATGACACACAAAGACCCAGAAGTAGTTTTTCTCTGTAATGTAGCATATTATTTTCGATGGCGTTATTGTATGATCAGAATGACAGATGTCTGCGGCATGTGTACGGCTCCTTATGTGTACTGCATTTTTTGTGCCGAAGCGGTGTTCCGGTGCTCTCCAGCAGCACTACACCATGTGATGACACATTACACTCGTGTTGTGTTCAAGGAACCTGTCCTTGGCCAGGAAAAACAGGCAGTCGCTTGTTTAATTCTGTTGCTGTCTAGATTTCTTTAATTTGTTTTGTCATGTGTTTATAAATTACCTCGCGGGCCGTATCAAATGGTCTCGCGGACCGTATACGGCCCGGAGGCCAGAGGATCCCCACCCTGCCTTAAAGGACTGACAGGATGGAAGTGGGAGTGGTGAGAGGGTCCATTAACAGGAAAGGTGTCAACTTGTCTCTTACTCCTGAAAACAACAAGATAAAGCTTTTTCTTTAAAATGTGTGCGTTGCAGCAGCACAGGGAGAGCAATTGCAAAGTAGAATAAAACTAAACTTATTCATTTCATGGTTAAAACAAAAACAGAAAAAACAATAACTTTATATTAAGGAAGAAATCCACATATGGTAAATAATACCTTAAATATTGTGATCATTATTACTTTCTATCAGTTTCCTATTTCTACGACATTTCGCTCACCTTTATTGTGACTCTAATGAAATGTTTATATTTTAAAATGTGCTGTTTATTTAGGGATTTTATTAAGACTGTACTTTATGCAATGTTTAATGCCTAAACACACTGCTGCTCATGTACACAGTATATAACTCATTGTACACTTCGACACTATTGTTTTCCTTTCTGATGCTGTGTTGGTGATTTTCGAGCAATCTCTGAAGGAATCATTTATTTTGGGGTTTATTAAGTTATATCTTATCCTAAAGAATAATCAATAATATTACGCGGCTAACTTTTATTTGGCTTCTTTAGTCATACTCATGTTTTGGTATCATTTGCTATTTTCTTCGGCTGTTAAGATTCACTTTTAATTGTTGTTATATCAAAATCAAATATAGTTGTAATGATATATTTGTTTTCTGAAATGGATGCAGTTGTTGTCTTTGGTCACTTGAGGGCAGTGCACACACAGTAATGGTATTCTGCTAAACTCCTAATAAACAAATACACAAGTTACTGTGCACAAAACAGGAGATACATATTACTGTATATAGCCATTTTAATGTCTTCATACAAGGTGGGGTATATTTAGTGTCCACTCAATTTGCTGGAGGTGAGAATGACAAAAAAAACATTACCAACATCTGACCAATCACGGCTTTGATACGGCCACTAGTGCAGGTGTAGAGATGTCGGTGAAAAGACAGTTCCAGTCCGGCGCAAGCAAGAGGGAAAAAAACAAAACATGAAGAAACTAGAGCATCACTCGAAGGTGGGTTATTGTATGAGTCAAATGTACAACTTGCGAATGTTGTATAAGTCAAATGTCAAACTTTTGCCAATTGCCATATTAAAACAGCTGCAATTCAGGACATGAAGAAGGCAGTCTCTGCAGAGCATACAGGCTAATGGAGATGCAGTTATTTCCAGCATTCTTTATTTAACATTCATTCAAGTATGTGATGCCTTTTATCTGCTGATGTACAGGAGGAAGAGAGATACACTGTCTGTCTAGTTGGCTTACATAACAGTTAAAGTTTACAGCCTAAAAAACATGGAGCATTTTTTCCCCTTTTATTTATTTTTATGTCAATTTGCACATTTCATGGTGACGCTCAGCCTCTCCCCTTAACTCCTAACAGTCATCGTCATGGTGACGCTCAGCCTCTCCCCTTAACTCCTAGCAGTCATCATCATGGTGATGCTCAGCCTCTCCCCTTAACTCCTAACAGTCATCATCATGGTGACGCTCAGCCTCTCCCCTTAACTCCTAACAGTCATCATCATGGTGATGCTCAGCCTCTCCCCTTAACTCCTAACAGTCATCGTCATGGTGACGCTCAGCCTCTCCCCTTAACTCCTAACAGTCATCATCATGGTGACGCTCAGCCTCTCCCCTTAACTCCTAACAGTCATCGTCATGGTGACGCTCAGCCTCTCCCCTTAACTCCTAACAGTCATCGTCATGGTGACGCTCAGCCTCTCCCCTTAACTCCTAACAGTCATCGTCATGGTGACGCTCAGCCTCTCCCCTTAACTCCTAACAGTCATCGTCATGGTGACGCTCAGCCTCTCCCCTTAACTCCTAGCAGTCATCATCATGGTGACGCTCAGCCTCTCCCCTTAACTCCTAGCAGTCATCATCATGGTGATGCTCAGCCTCTCCCCTTAACTCCTAGCAGTCATCATCATGGTGACGCTCAGCCTCTCCCCTTAACTCCTAACAGTCATCATCATGGTGACGCTCAGCCTCTCCCCTTAACTCCTAACAGTCATCATCATGGTGACGCTCAGCCTCTCCCCTTAACTCCTAGCAGTCATCATCATGGTGACGCTCAGCCTCTCCCCTTAACTCCTAACAGTCATCGTCATGGTGACGCTCAGCCTCTCCCCTTAACTCCTAGCAGTCATCATTATGGTGACGCTCAGCCTCTCCCCTTAACTCCTAACAGTCATCATCATGGTGACGCTCAGCCTCTCCCCTTAACTCCTAACAGTCATCATCATGGTGACGCTCAGCCTCTCCCCTTAACTCCTAACAGTCATCATCATGGTGACGCTCAGCCTCTCCCCTTAACTCCTAACAGTCATCATCATGGTGACGCTCAGCCTCTGCCCCTTAGCTCCTAACAGTCATCATCATGGTGACGCTCAGCCTCTCCCCTTAACTCCTAACAGTCATCATCATGGTGACGCTCAGCCTCTCCCCTTAACTCCTAACAGTCATCATCATGGTGACGCTCAGCCTCTCCCCTTAACTCCTAACAGTCATCATCATGGTGACGCTCAGCCTCTCCCCTTAACTCCTAACAGTCATCATCATGGTGACGCTCAGCCTCTCCCCTTAACTCCTAACAGTCATCATCATGGTGACGCTCAGCCTCTCCCCTTAACTCCTAACAGTCATCATCATGGTGACGCTCAGCCTCTCCCCTTAACTCCTAACAGTCATCATCATGGTGATGCTCAGCCTCTCCCCTTAACTCCTAGCAGTCATCATCATGGTGACGCTCAGCCTCTCCCCTTAACTCCTAACAGTCATCATCATGGTGACGCTCAGCCTCTCCCCTTAACTCCTAACAGTCATCATCATGGTGACGCTCAGCCTCTCCCCTTAACTCCTAGCAGTCATCATCATGGTGATGCTCAGCCTCTCCCCTTAACTCCTAGCAGTCATCATCATGGTGACGCTCAGCCTCTCCCCTTAACTCCTAACAGTCATCATCATGGTGACGCTCAGCCTCTCCCCTTAACTCCTAACAGTCATCATCATGGTGACGCTCAGCCTCTCCCCTTAACTCCTAGCAGTCATCATCATGGTGACGCTCAGCCTCTCCCCTTAACTCCTAACAGTCATCGTCATGGTGACGCTCAGCCTCTCCCCTTAACTCCTAGCAGTCATCATCATGGTGACGCTCAGCCTCTCCCCTTAACTCCTAACAGTCATCATCATGGTGACGCTCAGCCTCTCCCCTTAACTCCTAACAGTCATCATCATGGTGACGCTCAGCCTCTCCCCTTAACTCCTAACAGTCATCATCATGGTGACGCTCAGCCTCTCCCCTTAACTCCTAACAGTCATCATCATGGTGACGCTCAGCCTCTCCCCTTAACTCCTAACAGTCATCATCATGGTGACGCTCAGCCTCTCCCCTTAACTCCTAACAGTCATCATCATGGTGACGCTCAGCCTCTCCCCTTAACTCCTAACAGTCATCATCATGGTGACGCTCAGCCTCTCCCCTTAACTCCTAACAGTCATCATCATGGTGACGCTCAGCCTCTCCCCTTAACTCCTAACAGTCATCATCATGGTGACGCTCAGCCTCTCCCCTTAACTCCTAACAGTCATCGTCATGGTGACGCTCAGCCTCTCCCCTTAACTCCTAACAGTCATCATCATGGTGACGCTCAGCCTCTCCCCTTAACTCCTAACAGTCATCGTCATGGTGACGCTCAGCCTCTCCCCTTAACTCAGTGT